TTGAAAGAGGAGGGAGGGGGCTGCAGTACTATGTGGATGTGTGGGTCCGAAATGGGGGAGGTGCAGCATTTCCTTCGTTGTTGTGTGGTTTTTCATAAGTGCTGTTATTTGACACAGTTTGGTCCTTGGGAATTTGTCTCCAGAGACGTACAAGCATGCCCTCATTGTTGTAGGACATTCAATTAAATTATACATCATTTCCAAAACAGTCATGCTTCAAGCTGTATGTTGCTGAAAAAAATCTCAGCCAAGCAATTTTCTTTTGTCCGCTCATCACCTTGACTTGAACTTCTCCCTTTGTATTTCTAATATTTTATACAAAAGAACGTGGGTGAAGATGTTTGTCATCGAGGTTAAGGGTTTTTCTGAATCTCTTATTTCCCCGAAATGTTTATGAGTCATAAAAGGGAGCTTGTAAAATGTGATGTCAAAAAGAAAAATCCACCCACTATCATATAAACAGACTCTGCTTAGCATGAGCAAATTATTAACAAACATGTACTGTTTATTACCAGTGAATAACAGACTTTTCAACAAACTGTTGACGGATATGAACAGAACATATTAAATAAAAGGGGGTAACGGGTTCCTAACTCTAAGTTTAAATGTATGTTGTCCATTTCGCGCTGGCTAGCCGTACACTAGCTTAAGGAGCACAGCAGCTAACTGCCAGGTCCGCACCATCCAGGTGCATTTGGGTACTGTCAGAAACGTAATAATCCGATGATCAAGCAGTTGACTTGGATGTGGTTATAAAATCCATCCATCCATCCATCCATTTTCATCCTCTTATCCGTTACCGGGTCGCGGGGGCAGCAGTCTCCACCCAAATCACATTTCACCGTACCAACCCCCCTGAACCTTCCTGCAGGTGGTGAGTCCACTGGAAGGTACCAACCGCCCTAACTGGGATTCAAACTTGCCCAGGAGGTGAACCCTGGGGTTCCACACCAATGACAGAGACGTTGCCTCTGAGCCAACGCGCCATGTGGTTATAAAAGAAAAAAGAAATTGTTTCCTTATGTTTTTGTTCTTTAATGTAAGTTAATCTACAGTCTACAAAGCCATTTATTATTTTATTTACTGTAATGTCTGGACTATTGAGCGAACCTGAACATACCACACTAAATTTAAAAAAGGTACATATAAAGGCCCCACTTCCCTGTTAGCCACAGGTGTCTACGTTGTAACATGGGATATTTACACAGTAAGATTCACTTTTGATTGATCTGATCTCTTGATCTAACTTAGTGATCTGCTCCAGGGCCGAAGCTAACGTTAGCTCTGGGGCTAACTCTCTTCACTTGTGCTTGTCCACAGCAGAGGTAAACAGAAACAGTGAAGTTGGGGTCTTTATTATCAGCCACTCCGACCACAACAGAACATAAACAGAGTTTTAACAGCTCCTGTAGAACCAACTCACTCTTCAACATGACAAACTGCTCTCAACTTTCACTACCGTTCTCTCTCTCTCTCGCCCCATTGAGCAAGTCACTGAGCGGTAGCGGTATGAACTTTGTTAGCATGTACAAATCCATAAATTAGCCACATCATTGTTTAAGCTGCAGGGTTCAAAGCGTATGAAAAAAGTAGCGGCTTATAGTTCGGAAATTACGGTAATTTTACCATGTAATGTTTTACATTTGTGCGAAATGAAAAGGTTTTGCATTGACTTAAAAAAAGCAAGATGCTTTTTGACCGAAGCAAATGTCTAAAGTTTCAAGGTAAGCCCAGGCATTCTCAAAGTGATGGCCTCTCCTGCATCCAAATACCATGGCAGAGGTTGGCTTTTTAACTTATGGGTGTTTTTATGTCATCTATGGTATGTAGAATTTGACCCAACTTATGACAAATGTCGTTAGAGGACTTGCCCTAATAGTGAAAAGGTTGTTTGTAAATTTGTAAATGTATCCACCTAAAAATGGAAACAAGTAGAAACAGTCAATAGTGTTATCTTATTTTAAATCAAGAATACAACATAGAGCAGAATATGCTGTTTTGTTCCACTCTAATGGTATTTTCTTAGCATTGACCATGTAACTTCTCTTCCTTGGCCCTTCAAATGGTGCTCAAAATAACCTGTTCACTCAGTCAGGATAAACTGGTGCTTTTGTTTTATGTAAATCTATTTTTTCCAAGTCATTTAAATGTTTTTCCACAAGAAGTAAGCTAATCATTTGATTGATTTAATTACGTTGGACATAGGACACATAGCTCATATTTAGCATCATTGGCGTCGTAGCATACAGTATTTTAAATGCGGCACGTTTAGCTTTTTAATCCGGCCACCAAATTATTCCAAATGATTTAATTTATTTAAATTATATTTCTGCCTTTTCCCTGTATTAGCCAAAATTTTGTGAAAACCACAGAATTGCTTGCATACAGTAGTTTTGTATTAGTTGACTTTATCTACATCAGTTGCCTTTGATTTTGCTAACCCTCTGTGTTCTTTGGTTTATCTGCTTAGACAGTTGCTCCAGATTGGAGCTACAGGCATTTGTGACATTCCTACCTCTGTGCTATATCCTCCCCCAGTGCTTCACCAGGATTTCAGAATTTCCTGGCTCGCTGACAACAATCGCTTGCAAATATGATTACCTTTTAACTGCTGGAGGTTTTAAAAGACAAACCTATCTTGATGCTCACTGACTAATCTCACCTCTAAAAGAACCAAAACGAGAAAAAAAACAAAACAGAATTTAAGCTCTTAATCTTCTCAACGAGCTGCAGGTGGTGCTGTGGGTGACGTCCCCTCCTAGAGTGATTAAGTCTTCATCCTGCAGTCGATCAAATGTTGCTGTCCAGGCAAATGTTTACCCCTCCACATTCACACTACAAACAGTAAACTATATTAAAATATGTCCTTTCACGTTTGTTACACACTGACAGCCGCTAGAGGGCACTCTAGGCTGTGTACCAGTATCTGTTACTCCTGTCCCATTAAAAATGTACATGTTCGTTATTTTCACACTGACAGTCACTAGAGGGCACTCTAGGCGTGTGTACCAGTATGTGCTACTCATGTACCACAGAAAATTAACATGTTCGTTTTTTTTTTTCACACTGACAGCCGCTAGAGGGCACTGGTGCGACATATACGCTGTTTTTTTTTCCCTCTTCATTAAGCAATTTTTGGCTAGTGCGACTTATACTCTGAAGCAACTTATAGTCCGGACAATACCGTACTTATTACTGGCCCAAGGGGCCCTTAGGTTATTTGTGCACCATGAAAGTTGACGGGATGAAGAATCTTCTGAAAAGTTGACTTCTACAATGACGAAAACAGTAGTCGGTTGCTTCTGCAGCTACTTTGTCTAAAACAGGGCTTTTTTGTAACTTGAATCTGATGATTATCCATCCATCCATCCATTTTCATCCGCTTATCCGTTACTGGGTCGCGGGGGCAGCAGTCTTCGTGACCGCCACCCAAATCGCATTGCAACTGCCCTAACTTTCGATCTTGCCCAGGAGGTGAACCCTGATTCCACACCAGATTGCACATGGACAAAGCCACCATTGGCTGATTGGTTGATGGAGCCCTCATGTGAACTAAGATAAATGACAAAAAGGCTAAAATGCTGACATGCTTTTATTATTTTCTACGCCATCTACTGGGGAAACGTGGGTATTCCAGAGAAAAGGCAGAAGTATAATGATAATTTGAAAAAGTTGGGCGGGTCGGATTAAAAAGATGAACGGGCCGCATTCGGCCCCCGGGCCTTAGTTTGCCCATGCCTGTCCTAACTCTCCTGCACTCCCTGACGTCATGTCAGGAAGCTAGCTATAGTGCTATAGTGCCAGCATGGCAATGTCAATGTGACAAATTGCGTTTTGTATTTTTTCTTTCTTTGTCTTTTTTTTTTCAAGTCTTAATTTAATCAAAATGTCCGACTTGTTTACAGTTACAGGGTCTTCCCCTATCTCATGTGAATTTACAGCAATCTGGAAAATACCTGTGTTGCTCATAGTGAACAAATAGTGGGGTTACCCATTCGGAACATTCCCTCAAATTATGGCACAATATGGTGATGTAATATAACACAATATAAGAGTAATAAAAATTAAAAAAAATTTTTTAGAACTTAATAATTCATGCAAAATTCAAACTCAAACACATCTAAAAATGTAATTTATTTCATAAACACAACACCCCAGATGGCATTGGAGTGACTTTAGAGAAAAAAAAACAAAAAACGATTTAGTAATTATTCAAAAAAAAACAACGTTCTAAATAACAAATTAGTACAAATTAGCTAAGAACAACTAAACGTTAGATAAAACCCGACAACCACACAAAAAACAGCTATGAAGTTAGCCAAACACAAACATAAAGTTGTGTTGCTGCGGGAATTTAATTAATACAAAATAAAATAAACACCTACAAAATTTGCTAACAATCTTTGTGAATGTTACCAACAAAACATGTTGTAATTAGCCAGAAACAAGTTTAAAAGTTGGACAAAAAAAAAAAAAAAACAGTAAAAAAAACAGTTTGATTTTTTTTTTTACATTACACCCTGTGTCATTTTTTTTTAAAAACTCCACAGTGTTGATTTATTTCACATATGAAGCGTTAATTATTTTTAACATTTTATTCATTCATATCAAAATCTACACGTTAAGGTCCCAGCTCTATTTTTAACTCTCAATCTTTCACGTGTACACGCTTAAGGCCCACGTGTGGATACATTCTTTATTGTTGTTGTTTTTTGGTCTCGTGTTATCTGTTTTTGCTTCACACTAGTCGAGCTTACTAGTGAGGTAACCCATCACCCAGTTATACTGTTGTACTTACACAAGGTCTAGGCTCTGGATGAGTCATTTTTTCTTTGCACACTTTACCCAGCATGCAGTGTGTCATCTGCACTATTTGAAAATCTGTTTTTTATTTCACT